ACGCTCCTCAGGAGATGTAAGAAAATGTTTTTCTCCCTGAGCCTGGCCTTCATAATTCCATTCCGTCACACACTCAGACCACTTGTATCTTGCAGAGATATGGCTTGCAGCGTGGCCGGGATAACGTCGGACGCCAACGTGCTCACCAACGAACTGCGGTTGATTGCACAAAGGTACGAGGGCAACCTTGCTTTCTCAGTGCATGATGAGCCACGACAACACTCAGAAAATAAGGTGCATTGGGGTGGCAAAATGGTTTGGATTGCTGATTGTTTTATTAAATGCTGGACGCCATTGGGAGGAAGATTCTTGCTTTAAATATTTTTAATTAAACGGGTTATACCATGCAAGGCGTAGAGTTAAAAGTGTAGAGGCTTCTCACTCTAGTTTTAGAATTATGGAAATCATTCTGTTACAAATCATACTATAGTGCAGCATTTCTCAACCCGGGCAACTTTAAGTTGTGTGGACTTCAACTCCTAGAATTCCCCCATGGCTGGCTGGGGAATTCTGGGAGTTGAAGTCCACATATCTTAACATTGCTCACATTGAGAAATGTTGCTGCAGCATGAGGCTAACCAAATTCACTTCCAAGTCCTGCTGAGTTTAGAAATTCCTTCCCCACAAGCATGCTTAATATGGCAGCCCTAGTAAACCGAAATGCAATCAGGCCATTGATTTTTGTCTTGCCTAAATTGTTTCCTAAACAGCTGCATTATATCTGCCAGTTTAGACGGTTCATTGAAATATATAGCACTACAGATGGTCCTCAGTTAACAAGCACTCATTCAGCGACTGTTCGAAGTTACGGCATTGAACGAGTGGTACATAATGCCCGGTCCTCAAAGTGCTCCACTCACATCACACCTCCCTGACCAGTCATGCACCCAGCAGCAGCCACTTACTTGCTTGCCGGCCTGCTTGCAAGCTACCTGGGACTTGCAACTTCCTGCCAGCTTCCCCAGTGACTTTGGTTGACAGCAGGAAGTTGCAAGGACGTGCTCGCTTAACGACCCACGATTTTCGCTTAACGACAGCAATGAGGACTGCAGGGACTGCTGTTGCAAAGCAATGCAATCACATGACATTGTGCTTTACGACTGCACCACTTAGCAGCTGAAGTTCTGGTCCCAATTGCCGTCGTAACTCGAGGACTACCTGTACTGTAATTAGAGTAGGGCAGCCTTTCCTCAAGCCAGAGAAGCCTTTCTGATTTTGGCAAGCAAAGTGTTTGGAATATTTTCAGAATGGATCCTTCTGTGTTGTACAATCAGCCAAGCATAGTTTATCTTACATCCTGGTTGCAACGGAAGTACCCCTATTGCTAGAGGCAAGGCAGACACTGCAGAGGAAATGAAAGGCAGCGAGACTGGAGACTGTCCTTACTCAGCCCTGTTTTGAAGAAAAAGAAGCTATAAAACTTTTATTTTATTTTATTTTATTTTATTTTATTCATGGTAAAGCCCAATGGCAGTACTGTTTCTATCCCCATTAAAAGAAAAAAGGATTTCCGGTTCTGTTTGTTTCACAGCCTTATACTTAACCTCTCTAAAAGAGTTCTGCAGAGCTGTTTGTTTCTTAGTGATTGTTTCTGCACCACTGGCATATTTTTGTCTTTTCATGTTTCAGATATCTGTTGCAGTATCAGGAGCCAATTCCTTGCGAGCAGTTAGTAACAGCCCTGTGTGATATCAAACAAGCTTATACACAGTTTGGAGGTAACGTTTGTATTTGTCAGATGAAATTAACTTTGATAGAAAAGTCTGGCCCATACAAGGAATGGCTGTAATATTCTTGTGGTGTGTTGATGGAAGACTTATTGAATCTAGAAAGCTAACGAGGTGTGACAGCCCCATTTCTTTCTGATGAAGTTAAATCACTCCAAGGAACAGAATGCATTTTCTTTCTTTTTTTTTAATAAATTTTTTATTTTTTACAACAAACACAAACAAACAATAACATAAAAAGCATTAAAAAA